ATGACAAAGTTAAAATACAACTAGATAACCTAAAAAATTAATTAAAGATTACCTCAATAGATGAAGATTTGCAAAACACCATTTCCTAAGAAAATTAAAAAACACAAATTAGGTTAGTATTTATCTATAATTAATTTCAACCCTAATATCTCTAATGGCTTATATAAATAAAATTGAATGTTAATTTTCACAAAGAAAATTTACTTACCCCAATGATTATCTCCTAATGTTTCCTGGAAAACAAATTAAAAATGTAAATAAATTGATGAATAACACAAATTAGTATTTAATCAAATAGGGAGAAACAATGAAAAAGAAAATTAAAAGAGAGGAGATTGAAAAAATATAAACCTAAATTATATCAATAATGTAATTATAAACATAAACAATTAATCCAACATCATTGAATGGAAGAAAAAGAGGAGGCAATAGTCGGAAGAGAAGAAAAAGAAGAAGAAGAAGAAAAATAAGAAAGAAGACAAGAAGAAATAAGCCAGGTAGAGTGGTGGGGCGGGGGTATATATATGGCAACTTACCCATGTGTTGTTAGTCGATATTAATTTCACCGACAAAGATCACATGGGTAAGTGACTAAGAGCAGGAATCCAAAAACAAAAAGTTTTGCAATCCGCGCCCAAATTACCAACCAGTTTCCTATTGGTATTAATTTGGTGACTTTACTGACAAGATGCAAGTGGGCACTTGATTTTGCCGACTAGGAGTACGTTTCTAGTATGGTCGGTAAAAATTCCACAGCTTCTTTTCCAGATTTCGTCCATTTTGCCTAAGTTCCTTTCCAGATTTCATTTTCATGTCATTTTCTGAATTTATCTAACAAATTTATTACATTTTAGTGGACATAAATTTTTAAAAAAAAATTATCAAAATTCCCCCGTATATATGATAAAAGGTTTTTTTTTTAAAAAAAAAATCTGCATTTGCAATACTACAACTTTGTGATAAAAAATGCAATAATTTGAAATTTATTCAATAGATTTTTTGCAATTTTGTCATTTTAGTTGGTATAAATTCTAAAAAAAATTTGACAGAGTTTCCCCATGCATATGATCAAAACCAATTTTTTTTTACCTGCATTTGCAATGAAAAACACATATATTCTACAAGTCTAGTATGCTAAAAACAATTATACCTTTTCAACCATAACCACAACCACAACCACAACTACAACCACAACCACAAAGTATATATGGCAGTTACACACCATTGTCTTAAATACCCACGATATTTAGTTAATAATAATTAACCTCCAAAGCAGTCCAAAACTTCATACCTTTTGAAGTATGATCACTTGGAAGTCAAGCAAAATAAGAAAATATATCGTAATGAAAAGTTAATGCTAACAGTTTAAAGTACTAACAGAAATAAAGCCAACCATGCAAAGTGTGCAAATAATGCGCGTAGCAGAAAAATAAAAAACTAAGGACCCTGATAGTCTGGATCAAAAGCAGGATGGTATGCATCATCATCTTGAGGTGGAAACTGCCACTGCTGCTGATATTCAGGAACCATAGGAGAGGTTTGTGTAGAATCAGTGGAGTAGGTGAAAGCTGAATTCATGTGAAGACATGAGCTAGGACCATGTGACGGTTGTGGTGGGGCAACTGGATGATGACCTACCTGAGGGGAGATGCCATGAGCGGCTATAGCTGCTGCAACAGACTGTGCAATTGTCTGGCTCATATTATTCTAAGCTTGTGTCATATTGGCCAACTGCTGTTGCATCAAAGCAATTTGTTGGCGTTGTCTTTCTAACTCCTCATGATCTTTTGCCTGTGCTTCCTCATAGTCAGACACCATCAGTGCTGCTATTAAGTTTTCTCGAGGTTGTCTCTTCCTGCAAGTAAAACCAACCATCTCTAGATTTACTTGGGAGCCAATCCCTGGCATGAAATTAGATGAGCAACCTCCAACAGCCTTAACCCATGCCTCGTTATCCATGCGTGGCCACGAACTAGCATCAGAGCCATGACTCTCTATGCACTCTGCAACATAAGTATCCTGAAAAAATAATAGTAATAGTAATAATGTTGTCAAAAGTATGGTTTGAAAAGAATCTATATATAAAAAAAAGAGTAGACTTTGCTAAATAATTTAGATTAATTACATAAATTTTTTTGACACTTATAACTATATATTTTATACTAATTTATATGTTATATATATTTACATATCGATACTTTGCTTTTTCATTGATCCACATTGGCTCTTGATCCTTTCTCGCCTTTTTTCTGAAGGTGTGTGTCTCCTTGAATTTCTCCTGATGGGGAGGTTGCACACCACCTCTAGACTCA